CTAGAGCTTCCCTATTCCGGGGAAGTGCACCTCTAGCTGAAGTCATTGTCATGGCTTACGTCTTCTCTCCTGCTTCTCTCACTAACTTTTCGCACCTCAGCAACTGCCAAGAACTCTTGTCTCAGGCTCTGCCTCTGCTTAGGAAACTCCACCCAAGACACCAGTTATCAAAAACGTCATGGCCAGGCCCAGTCTCAGTAACTCCTGAAAGACACCCTGGGAATCCCCAGGGCTCTAAGGCTCAGAGGCAAACAACTTTCTTCCCTCTGCGCTTGTGACTGTCCTTAATTCTCCTGTTTATTGCAACTGGAAAACCTTGGAAATATAGACGTATGACATCTGAGACAGTGGAAATCTGCTGAGTGAAGTAAGATACGAGTTTCTTCTGTTGAGACCAGAAGGTAACAGAGGACAGGAATTTGCAGTTCGGAGTGTCCTGACACTTATTTCAGACCTGCGTTATTGTGGATTTTGACTGCGCAGGAAAGGCGGAGCCTGTGGAGCACAGCTTCTCCTGCCCTCAACTCTGATCCCGGGAAAGCAATGAGCTGGATTAAACATCAGCAGGGGTAAGAGAAGAGAAAGCACGGAAGGAAGCCAACCTGTGTAAGGAAGCGCTTTGATGGGGGAATCTTTGTGCTTTCCCTGGAAGACGGTCAAGCCGAAGCGGGATGGGCATCGGGACCACCTGTTCATACATTTGGAAGCTCTGTAATTTCTTTCCTTGATGAAACCAGAACCAGATCATTTCAAACCAGACAAATGTTTCAACCCTCACACTACTAAACCTGTTGCTTAATGTATCGAAGATAATAATTACTTTCCAACAGCATCGAAGATAATAATTACTCAAGCCATGAATGCATCCACGGTTAATTTATATAAACTGATATTAGCCATTAGTTGAGAGACAACCAAGGATTTGTAAACTGAAGCATTTTCAGGGCGGGGACTGTAGTTAGTGGCACCATACCTAGCATGCATAAGACTCTGAGCTAGATCTCCAGTGTCACAAAACTGACTAACAAAATAAATCAATAGGGCCAGGGAGATAGCTCAGTGGCATAAGCATCTGCCTGGCAAGCACAAGGTCCTGAGTTCGATCCCTTGTACCGGAAAATAAATAAATAAATAAATATCAAAAAGCTCAAAAAAATTCATCCTAAGATATCATGTCTGCATCTTGTCCTAGGAACAACTACTACAAAGACAACATTGTGCAATGTATTAATTCTTGCAAATGTACTACTAACCTGTTTTGAAACTATCTCATTGCTACTTCTTTCTCAATAAAATTATTAAAATATAAAAAAAAGTTCATCTTGAAAACTACTAAAAGTATAAGTGTTAATATACTGTTGTTAGCTATCATGATAACTATGATAATAAAGATTTTACTAAATGCTGACCATGGGACAGGTTCAGAGATAAGCACCTGGTATAAATTATCTCATTTAATTGCAACATAACCCGCGTGACAGATCCTACACTAGGCTTACTTGGTGGATTTACTTTCCCAAGAGCACTTGGTTGCCATGGTAGAACCAGATCAGCACTCAAAATGTCTTCATCACTCTATTGTTTATCCATTGTTGCATAAGAACTTGCCTTTGTTTTATCATCTTGGTGCAATGCATACCACTTATCTCACAGTGCCTGTGGGTCAGGAGGCAGAGTTTCGCTAGGCCCTCCACCCCATACTTGGCCAGGCTCAGGCAAAGAGCCTGGTCAGTGCTGCAGTCTCATCAGGGGCCTGCTGAAGGAATATGGCTTCTAGGATCACGTGGCTGTCTGCAGACTCTATGTCCTTACAATCACAGGACAAAGGTCCCCATGTGGCTGGCTGCTAGCTGGGGCAACTCAGTTGCTAGCACCTCCCCCTCCTCCTGTTGTTGGTGTCTGACAAGAAGACAGCTCCCTTCCATCCACAAAGCCACCTCAAGGGGCAGGGGTGGAGCCCTGCAGATCAGAGCATGGTTACAACCGCAACACCCCTTCCATTTGCTGCACTCTGTTATCACCAATGCCAGATTCTCTTGGTGGAAAGCAAGCCACCAGCACCTCCTGCACTTGAGGAGCCAGTTACCCAACAGTGTGAAACGGACGCTGGTGTCACTCCCCCAGAGTCCCCCTGCTAGGAGTGCTAGACATGTGTATGCGATGGGGCTCTATGGAATTTTTATTTCATCTGTTGCCTCAGATCAGCTCACTTTACAAAATAATTATTTGTGTTTTTAACAACTTTGTATATCACAGTCTTAAATGAAAAATCAATATCTCTGCCAGAGGCAGACAGTAACTGAACAAATACTCCGAAAACAAAGTCATGCCATGAAGTAAAAGTAAATTAAAAATTAAATAAGAAAAATGAGAAATGCCCACTATGACACATTCACTTGGACTCTCTTGATCCTCAACACAGGCCAGAGGGATGGCTCAGTAGAATAAGCACTTGCCTGGCAAGCACAAAGGCCTGAGTTCAATTCCTGGTTCTGAAAAAAAAAAATCCTTAGCACAATCTGGGGCAAATAATCTTATCCTCATTACTGAATATATGGAAACTAAGATCCAGAAAGCTTATAAATTGCCCAGACCAATCAATCCTTAATACTTGGACCCAGACTCAAATCCATGAGTAAAGCAGGCCAAAGCACACCAACTGCAGTTTGGGGAGCACCCAGTTCCCTAAATTGTTCCCCGTTATCCCTTTCTTAGTTTCGTGTGATGGCCAGTGTCTCTGCCTCTATCTTTGCTTTCTCTCCAGTTTAATATTCTCAAGCAAGCAGAGGGGCCTTAATGAGACACAACCATGTCTTCTCACGCTTCTGCTCAAAACTTTCCAAAGGCTTCCCGCGTCACCCAGAGAAAAGGTAGATTTCTCCCATAGCTGCTAGAATCCAACAACCCCTGGCTCCCATTGTCCTGCTGACATATGCGCTATGATAAACAAAACTTCAGTGAATCTTCAACTTATAAAAAATTGTTACAGTAAAAGCCACCCTGCCCAATCCCCCTCCTAGTTGTGAGTGGCCTTATCTTATCATTTTTGCCCCTTTCTAAGGAGGTTCTGGAAATTCTCTCTTTTCAGCTGTGCTGTGGTGGCTGCCTCACTGTCCCCAGTCCATTAACACAGTGCCCTGTGTGGTCACTGACTTTGGAGATGAGCCAGGAGCTGCCCGGTGCCAGACCTGGTGAATAAGGGGGGCGAGGACACACCGTGGTATTTTCATGAACCTGTCTTTTCTGCTGGATGGAGCCTGGCAGCAGCATCACCACATTTTCATCACACCTCATAAAGAACTCACAAAAGAGATCTTCCAGAAGTGTTTCAGGAAGTGGCAGGAAAGACGGGCTAATTGTGTTCAAAGTGATGGAGCGTACTCTGAGCAGATTAATGGCCATGTCTTTTACTGTAATTATTTTTATTAAACATTCAATGTGTATTTCAATCACCCCACGTAATTTCCCACCATGTCCACCTTGTTCAGCAGCTCTAACTACCTAGTCTCTTCTTTATCCTATGAACATCCTACGAGGTGTATTTCTGCCTCGGGCCCTGGCACTAGCGGTTCTCTTTCTCTGGCCAGGAGGGGCCTCCTGCTAACTTTTATAACATTCCCAGCCCCTCTCATGCTTCCTGTTTTCCTTTTTTCTCTATAGCACTTCCTATTTCACACATTCCATTTATTTATTTTGTCCTTTAAATTCTGACAAGGCAAAAATTTTTATCTCTGTATTTGCTGTTGAGTTTCTAGGGCTCAAAGCAATGCCTAACACAGAGTGGATATACAATAAATATTTGTCAAGTGAATTAGCTATCATCCAGATGGTATGATTTATATAATTATAGTTATTTTATAATGCTGTCATGATGAGAGACTTTCCCCAGGATGCTAAAAGGGACAAGATATTCCCCAATAACACCATCGCTACTCACACATTCCAAATAATTCCACTCATGATTTGACAGACAATAAAAAGAGAAGATAAACCTCTTACAAATGACAGTAGTTTTAAAATAGGTACTAACAGATCAATAATAGAACTAAAAATTTAAAAAAACAGAAAATGTGAATTAATAAATTCAAATATGGTCCTGTTTCAGCTCATGCAATGTGGTTACATCAAAACATCATGTATTATTATTTATTTATTTTTGAGGTAGGGTCTCACTATGTATTTTAGGCTGATTTTAAATTCACTATACAGCCCAGGCTGGCCTTGAACTCGTGGGATTCTCTGAAGAGTTCAAGGCTTAAATAGACCTAGGAAAATGCCACTTATCTGAAGTGTCCCGAGAGGACATAGCTAGTGTGGGTGACAGGCCTCTACTGTTTGACGTCTCAGCCAGGTACAGCGGCACACACCTAAGTCCTAGCACTTGGAAGGCGGAGGCAGGAGAATCCCATAAGGAACACCTCGTCTGACTGAAGATCTCCCCTGTTCCCCAGTCAGAGAAGGCAGGGAGGCGGAAAGGAGTTTGGGGTTCAGAGCCTGACAAAAATAAGCCGAAAGTCTCTTAAAGCTGGAATCATTTTGTAATTTCCAGCTGATGGTGGCCAACTCAGAATGAAGGAAGAAAGCTCTCCTGTGTGTGTAAGGATGCCCAAGCTCATTAGGTTTCCTAACATGTAAAACACTCTCCATGGGGGCGACCGCACTTCCTCCAAGTTCTCCTCGCCAAGTGTGAAGAAAGCCTTCCATTCACACACACAGAGAAACAGCAGATGTACCGTCCGTGTCAGGTCAAAAGGCGTACTTCGACATAATTCATTTCACTGGAATAGAGTACTTGGACTGTCAGGGACTCATTTGGCATTAAAGCGCTCTCAAAGGTAGATTGTGCTTTAAAAGTCTAATTTCTGAAACAGTTCCCAGACTGGCAAACTCTGACCAAAGGAACTATTCTGTTCCTATGATGATGGTCAACTTTTTTTTAATGGACTCATTATGAGTAGATACATACATATATATATTTCTCATTTGAGCAAACTGTTTACCTCTTTCTCCATTTGTAATCCTTCTGCTCTAATATTTCTTTCAAACACTTCTCTCTTTTCAGTCTGGGGGCTGGACTTTCTGTACACAAGAATGTAGTCAATCCGACACTTTCCATCTCGAAAGTACAGTCCGTTTAACTTGTTTTTTTCTCGCACTGTCTGCATACAAAGAGAAAAGGACCAGCTGATGAGCCTGAGGTGGAGGTAAGTGGCATCGAAGACAAATGAAAGCTAAATGCACGTTGTCTTGTGCTTTATTAAGATTGTATTTTCATTTGATTTGAAACTGTCTCATTGCTATTTGTTTATTAATAAAATTATGGGAAGAAAAAAAAAGATTGTATTTTCTTTAATAAAAATATAAAGAGGAAACACATTTGAAAAAGCATTAAGGAAAATGAACAAAACACAATGAAAATTCTATAAGCATTGGCCAAGATATGCAGCAGCTGGGAATTTTCATAATCTATAGGTGAGAGTAAAAGTTGGTATACATATTCTGAAACACACCCTGGTGCTGCCTAGTAAGACTGAACAGCTACATATGCACCACAGAAATTCTCAAGAAAACGAGTAAGACACACATATGTGAAAATTCATAGCTTTGTTCATAGTAGTAGAAAATTTTTAAAAATTAGAATCAACTCAGATATCTATGGACAGAAAAGAAACACATTATGCCATAGGTAAAATGCTACATAGCAGTGTGCGTGAATATATTATAGTTGTGTCTAACATAAAGAATGATTCTTAATACTGACAGGAAAAAAGTCACAAAAGACTTCTCACCACATGACGCTGTTTATTAAACACAGAGCAAATCTTACGTTAAGACTACATGTGTTGAAAACTATCTTCGGAGCAAAAAAAAAATCACAGGAGTTCAGGAAGATGGTACCGCTGAAAGAGTAGAGGTATAAGATTTCAAATGGTTCAGTGGCGTGGTGCTTACCTAGCATGCGTGAGGCTGTGAGTTTGAGCCCCAGGACCACAAATATAATAAGATAAAATAATAGGTTTTCAGTCAAGGGCATAGGGAGCAGGGTTACCCTGAGCAGAACAGGGACCTGCGCCACCTTCAGCAAAGCCCTCGTCTCTCTGAGGTTGGTCCCTCATCTATAAATAAGGGGATGAGAGTAGTTGCTCTCTGAGCCCCTTTCAGTGTCCCTTAACCGTGACACATCATGGCACTCCAAGTGCCTCTGTGCAGGAACTTTTTCTCAAGAAATAATAGACATGGGTGGCATTGTAGAGTGTTTTGGGGAGAGGTCTGTGAAGCTTGGTGGAAGTTAACAATGTTTCCTGCTTAAAGCTGTCACTCTTCCAATGTCCAATTAGCCCTGGAATCACAAAAACACGAAACATCTGAATTTCTCAGGCCCTGTGTGCCTGTCACCTTTGCCTAGTGCAAGGCAGATGTTAGACTCCTCCATGTGGAGCTTCTCTTCCGGAAATGACACCGGAACATGTGGGCCTACTGACAACCACAGTGAAGTTCCAGATTGCAGGGGCTTCAGCCAGCACAACTTCTGGAAGGTGGTCCATTTTTTACCACTATTCTTTGTGATGGGGAATTTCTACAAGGCATTGTATCCTTATAAAGCTTGTGTTTTACTCCTTAACAGCACCCAGAATATAGGCCTTAAATTCACGTGCATTTCTAAGAATCTCCCCTTGCATGATTGCAATGTCTGTAGGGATAAGAAGGCAACACGCCATCCCTCCATCCATCCTGGATTTGAATAGATATTTGAATCCCTGAGAAGTGCTAAAGCTACAGGAGATATTGGAGTATATTTTATATTAAACCTATTTCCCATTTCCCAGGAGTCTACAGTTTGATGAGATTCTGACTTTAAAAGCCTGTTACAACCCTCATCATGTGTTTCGAGCTGAATCAAGAATTCTCTTTTTGAGAGCTCACACACTCTTACCTCTCCACCTGCTTCTAATCTGCTGGCGTCATCTGAAGTACTGGTCAGGTTTCCTGGGTGAAGGAGGGAGTCGTCATCTTTGCAAGGACTATTGACAGCTTCTAATTCATCAAAAAGAATATTGACGTCCTTGGCCACTGGAATCAAATAAGTACATTGAAAAAAGGTTAAGAATTGGAGATCTTGAAATCAACAGTAGAAGAGAAGACATTTCCCTTGGGTTTGGTGTGTCCTCAAAGTTTCAAGCTGAATGTCCTTAAAACTGTCATTAGCAGCTCAATAACACTCCGAGTGACAGGGATTTCATTTCCTAAGAGAAAAGATGCCAGACACAAGACTCATTTGACCCAGCAGTGACAGTGCATTCATTAGGGAAGATTAACGACCCTGTGAAGCAATGTACAGGACCTCCACGATATAATTTATTTTCCACAATAACAGATACGTTTATTGAACTTTCCTTCACATCCAATACTTTCTTTTAAGACTTTTAAGAACTTATTTTCTGGTTTGGAGATGACTGAGTTTGTTTTGTTCTAATGAACTTTATTCTTTCATTTAAGGGCTGTAATGTGCTACAAAACAATTGCATGGCTTTGTCATTTTTTTCTTCCTTTGTTATCCAAAGATAGGAAACCTAATACAACATTGAAATGCACACTTAGGCTTCCCGCCTGCCTTCTTCCTCCACTGACGAACTGGAGCAGCAGAGGGAGGCATTCGAGGGCTCCCCCCAAGGCTGCTGATGTCAGACTTTGGACGATATATGAAGGGCTGCAAATCAGACTTCTAGATACAGATTACCATGCCAAAATGCAGAGCCTTGCCAACTTCAGCACCAGGGGCCGGGGAGATGGCTCAGTAGAATAAGTGCTTCCCTGGCAAGTGCAAGGGCCTGAGTTCCATCCCTAGTTTCATAAAAAACAAAACAAACAAACAAAAAAAAAACTTCAGCACCAGTGGAGGAGAGGAGGTGATGCCTCTAGCCCAATCAGGGGGCAGTCCTGTAGGTCACTTTTTCTTCTGATGCCTCAGACATGGCCATAGATTTACACACTGCCAAAACCTGGTACACAAAAACAGTTCCCGGGAGACTGGGCCCCTTTTTACCAAAGCACACAATATTTTTTCTTTCATTCAAAAACATGTTAGAGATGTGCACATCGTGTCAGGCGCAGAGTCCTGTGACAGTCACACCCTGGTGGATGAAATTGATGTGGCTCTCTGCCTTTCTGGCTGGATGTCAACAAACCAAAGAGATTGAACTGAGAATGTTCTCCAGGGAAGAGCGGAGCTTGGATAGAGGGATGATGTCCTTAGGTGAGGTGATCAGGTTCTACTTTTAGGAAAATCATTGAAATTTATTATTATTTTTTTTTACAAAAATCTGTAAAATAAAGTATACAGGTACAAGAATAAAGTGGAGAAATACTTGATTTCTTACTGAGATAAACTGAGTCACCACCCCCTTCCCAAACGTAATCTAATGCCTGGAATCTTGGATCTGTGTTCATTAGGGTCTTTACACACAGCCGGGTGCTGGGCCTCTCCTCTCTCTGTGTTCGGTCTTCAGGGACAGGGACGGGGAAGTGCAAGACATCCAGGGGTTGAGAGGTGTCCAGCTCAAGGACGGCTTCCGGACCACTCAGTGTGATGAAGCCCCCCATTATTCTCTGCTCACTATTAATTTCCTTCCCAGCACCTAACACAATCTGTGATTCTTCTTTATTCACTTGTTTACTTGTTTATTTGCTGTTAGCCTTTTTCAAGTGCAGGTTCTGTAGGGGAGAGATCTTATCTTTCTTAGCTACAGAGGTCAGGGCCCAGAGGGAGCCCTCAACACATTCAGGGCATTTGCATGGCCGAATGCCGGCTGCAAGATGGCCACAGCCCGGTGGTAACTGAGGGCCCTTCTGCTCCGAGCCTGCACTGTCCCAGGACTCTGCATGTACATTTTTCCTGACCTAATTCCTATGCACAAGTGAGGACGCTGTAGTTTCTAGCAGACAGAGATCAAACCTCAGTGGGTGCGATGCGACCTGCGTAGGATAAACACAGCGCTGAGCAATGGCGGTGGCCTGTGAGCCACCCCAAAGCCTGTCACCCGGCCACGGGGATGCGTGCTGCTGTTCCCTCACTGGCGAGATGGAGCTAGAAGAGTGATCACTCAGAGCAGCTGCTATACCTTGAATTGAAACATCCCCCAAAGGCCTGGCGGTGAAAGGCTAAGGCCCCTTGTGGAAGTGGCGGAGACCTGAGGCACTGAGGCCTTCCGCTCTCGGGAGCATGTCCTTGAGGAGACCCTGGACCTTCTCTTCTTTTTCTCCTGCCAGCCACGAAAGAAGCAGTTCTGCTTTGCCATGAGCTCTCTATCATAATATGCTGCCTGCCTGCCTGCCGGGAACCAGATAAAATGGGGCCGGCCCTCCAAATCGTGAACCAAAAGAAGACTTTTCTCTTGATAAATCAAGTGTGTATTTGTGCAGTAACGGAAAGCAGACTAACATGGTAGCCAAGATCAAACGTGGTAATGGATGCATTTCTAGGGGGCTGACACTGAGGGGCCACAAGGAATGTCGGTGGGTTGACTCTAGACTCTTGGACTTTTACAGTTAGCACGGTATGCTTTTCAGTACAAGAAGATAAAGAGACACTTTACAAGGTGCAGTGGTTGTTTTGGAGAATGGATTGGGATGGTCTGAGGTACGGGGGGAAGCTAAAGAAGACTCTGGGGTTCATGCTCAGATGATGGCAAGGACAGACTTTCTCTTCACAGCCATCTGTGTAAGCCATAAGAATTGCCCTCTTCTTGTGCAAAGGGTAGGAAATGGCTGGTCATCTTCTGCTGCGTTACTTTCTGAGTGGGGACAATCCATTCAGTAAAGTTCTCTACAACTGGTTCTTTGCTGGGGCCGGTTTTGTCTCCCAGGTAACGTGTGTTGGAGTTTGGAGACTTTTTGAATTGTTTCTGTGGAGACCAGCGTGGGGCCTGTGCCAGGGGCAGAGGCTAGGGCAGCTGCTTCATACCCCACGCTTCGCAGGACACCCTCACAATGAAGACTCACCCAAAGGTCAGTACAGGAAGCCTCTCTTGTTCCTGGTTTTGCCTCCCGCCATTTTCAATTATCTATCATCAACCACAACCCAAAAACATTAAATGAGAAAGTACAGAAATGAACAACTCTTAAGTTTCATAGCGTGGCTGTTCTTTTTTTTTTTTTTTGTATTTTAGGGAAGGGTCTACAGGGTGTTCAGGGCCGCACTACTAGATCAGACTCGTAGTGATCCGCCTGTTTACAGCCTCCCAGGAGCTGGGATTACAGGTACCTGTCATCAGGCCCAGTCTCAATTGCTGTCTCAGGGCAACCTGGGGGTGGGTCCGGCACGGCAGGCCACAGTGGGTGTTCGGAGCGGTGTGGTGGAACCTCGTGCCAGGGGTTTCCCTATTGTTCTGGAAATGCAGCAACCTTTTGTCCAGGGTAGCCCGCCCTGTATGTGCCCCGCCTGTCAGTCACTTGGCGTCTGCCTCAGTCGTCAGCATAGCGCCTCGGGCTTTGTGCCGTCCTGCTTCCAGAGGTCTGCCGGGACTCTCGGTCTGTCTCCCAGGTGGAGAATGCAGGACTAATGTAATGGGAGGGTTGGGAAGTGCCAGTCCACAGCAAAAGCCCCTCAACAGATCCTAGAGACGGTAGCCAATGGGAAAGAGGGAGCAGCCCACGTTTGTTTTGCTGCCCATCAGAACTACTTTCTGGGAGTCCTTTGAGAGTACAGTCCCCAGAGTCCTCAGGGAAGTCAGGGCATCATGATGAGCTGTGTTTTTAGAGAACAAAGGATATTAAGGGACCCTTATGTATCAGCCTCTCAATGGTTTCCACAGAGATTAAAAATCGTGAGTGGTTACAGAACATTCAGGAAACCATGTAGTCAGTAAGAACATTGTAAAACATGTCTTCTGGTACCGTTAGCTTTCCATACAAAGTGGATTTTAGGAGCAAAGTATAATATCCTGTGATGAAAACCTACATCTTTTCCTTAGGGATTAAATAATCTATTTATTTAATTAGCATTTATTTATACCAGTCTGTCAGGCTGGTACCTGGGACTCAAGCCCTGGACATAGCAAACCTGTCCCTGGCGCTCAAAACACTCAGTGTCCAGCTGAGGTGGGAGCAGGACCTCTCTACTCAGGGCATAGACACCAGAAGGTTGTGGCAGGTCATCTATTAATGGATTCCACCACATCCCATAGACTTTTTGCTCAGACACAAAAGTGTTCGATAATTATCTGCCTGCTATTAGGCTCATTAAATGAGAAAGAGAGCTAAAAGCTCTGAGGAGTCAATTCAGAATAACAAGAGGGCATGTCTGAAACCCCTGCTCTCTGAGAGGCTGAGGCAGGCAGGAGGCTCACAATTTCAAGCCCAGTCTGAGCAATGCTGCAACTTACTTATCTTCAAATTAAAAAAAAAATAAATTAATTAAAAGGACTGGGGATGTAACTCAATTTTCAGTACAAAAATCAATCCAAAACAAAATAGAATAGAGAGAGAGGGAGAAGGAGAGAGACAGAGAGCACGAACACCATGCAATCCTGGTAGGTGTCTGCGATGCCCTCAGAGCCAGGACGGCCCCGGGAGCCCATGCGGAGCACAGGCGGGTGAATGCCGGTGGACACCACGTGTGTGGAGGCAAGGGAGCACCCACGTGACCTGCAGGAATTAGGAGCTCGGCCTCTCAGAGGCTTGGGAACAGAACAGCTGGAACTCACATGTGACAACTGAGCAAGGGTCAGGGACCTCGAGTTGCCATGGAGACCCTGGGTCAGCTAGGGAGTGTGAAGAAAGCACTACACTCAGCACAGCAGGGAGAGTTTTTGAGGACCTTTCCAAGCCATCCAGGCTGTGGCCAGAACAGAGCCAGGGGTGGGCGGAGCCTGATGCTCCCGAAGGGCTGCGAGGGAGGGCGAGTTCACCTCGCTCACCCTGGAACTACTCGCTGAACAGCCACAGCTATGCCAACCACTCTCCAGGGAAAATCCTTTGGGGGGTTCATTACTGTTCATTCCTCAGGGACAAGTGATCACAAATGCACTGCAAGGACTCTAATAGATTATCTAATTAATTAGGAATTGTTTCCT